TTTCATTACGGATCAATTTGATCATCTTTTGTCCTAATTTGTTACAACCTGGTTATTTTAATTTTTTAAACTAATGCAGATTTTCACAACGGGGGTTTGTGGAGATTGTAGTAATTTTTAATAATTGAATTCATGAGTCCATTGACGGTAGTATGGCATTCCTGAACAGTACGCATTCAAGATCCCACACGTCGGACTCAAACCCAAAACCTTCAGTTTAAAAAGCGAGCACTTAACCACAAGACCACTGATCCGGCATCCCAATGGTGTTAATATCTAACTTCAATCGATCCATGATCTTTTGCAACCATTCATCCATTGTCTGAGGTAGATACCTGTCTCTACCCGACACTGGTTTGACTCCGCTGGTTACGGCTTGTTTTTACAGTTCTTTATAGTATTTACCCGTCTTAAACAAACCATCGATATACTACATTACTACTACTAATACTAGCACTAACACTTAATAATAAGAATAATGGTGCATTGAAAACAACACACATAAGTGTTTGGTTTTTCTTTAGTAATAATAATATCACCAATCATAAAGTGGATTCATGAGTAATAAAACATTTCAGTCGAAAACAAAAATGACAGATTCTTACTGTCATCATTTTCAGTTCATTAATCATCATTACAATTCACTGATTGATGATGATTTACTTGAAAAACAAAATAGAATTCCTTGTAAAATATACTTGGTCAAGGTGTAACAATTAGTACAAGACTACTTACAAATAGATCTTTATCAAATTTTACTCTAATTTACGATAATATTTGTATGGTATATGAAAACTCCTCCTAGAGCCCCTTTGGGCCCTTTGCCGGCCCCAAGCGCGGATAAAGTAGGAGGGTTGGGTATAGGGTTAGCGACCACATCCCGTAGAAAACTAACTCTCTAAAAAACTCTAATCAGAAAAAATAATTCAAACCATTCAAACTTTGCCCTGGGAGTTTGAAAGTCTTCACATAGAAAACTTATGATGCCTCATGGTGAAGGCCGCGTTCCTTCGAAAGTCACGAGACTGATGCCCCTTCTGAGAACCAGAGCAACAGTTAATTTAGGTACATGGAATGCTCGTGCAATGTGGGAGACCGGTAAAGTCTTCCATATTGTTACAGTTACTGCATATGAAAAAAAATTTTATTGAAACAATCAAGACAATTAATGGGTTAGTGATAATGAGTGGTTTATACATTAAGTCAAGGTTCCATGGAGAGAGAATAGTGTTGGAAAAAAAATGAAACAATTAAAGTTGTTATAGAAAAACACATATACATAGGCATATATATATATGTACACAGAAACCTAATCATAAACACCAAAAAACTGGAACAAAATAAGACAAAATACAACAGAATTCTATCAAATTTCATTTATTTGCGAATCAGTTCAGTAAATTCTGTTTCGTATCGACTACTGATTTCGATGCAGGATGTACTGATGGCTTTACATGAATTAGAGTTAAAAAGATATAGCTATTATAGTAAACATTGTGTGTTAAGACCATTGTATCAACTTTAATAAACACTATTCAATCAGTAACCCTAAGATTCTTATTCATTATGGATAAACACCAATAGTTAAGTATCCTCACAAAAAATTCAAGATTTTGTTTAAACACCTATGACTATTGTTTAGTTGGATAGTTTATTGAGAGATTAATCCAGTTTAGAGATAATAGCTGGTTTTCACTAATACTTACCAACTCAAAAACATGAATCTGTGACATTAAGAGAGACTGAACATAAGACCATTATAATCCATCGGTACCTTAAAAACTATAACAAACTGTTCGAGAAATCATCAATAATCAATACTTACCTACTTACTTATGCCTATTACTCCTCGTGGAGAAGCATAGGCCACCCAACACCACACTCCACCAAACCCAATCGTGGGCAATCCTTTCCAGCTCTCTCCAATTGTTATTCATCCTTTTCATATCTGCTTCTGATTCCCGACGTAGTGTATTCTTCTACCTTCCTCTTTTCTGTTTCGCTTCAGGATTCCAAGTTAGGGCTTGCCTCGTGATGCAGTTTGGTGATTTGCGTAGTGCATGTCCTATCCATTTCCATCTTCTTTTCCTAATTTCCTCTTCAGCTGAAAGCTGTGGTATCCGGCCAATGGATGTAAATAAATACTTGTACTATTTTTATGATGGTTGAGGCAGTTCTCCAAGTTTCAGCTTCAGACAGTAGAACTATCTTGATGTTCGTATTGAAGATTTTGACTTTGATATTGGTTGAAAGTTGTTTTGAGTTCCATATGTTCTTCAACTGTGAGAATGCCGCCCTTACTTTGACAATTCTTGCCTTTACGTCTGTATCAGATCCTCCTTGTTCATCGATGATACTTCCCAGGATTGTGAAGGATTCTACATCTTCCAGAGTTTCTCCATAAAGTGTGATAGTGTTGGTGTTCCCTGTGTTGTATTTAGGGACCTTGGTTTTCCACCTTGTGTATGTTGAGGCGTGCTGCCGCAGAGGCTGGTGCTATACGAGTTGTCTTCATCTGCATTTGTTCATGTGTATGAGATAAGAAATGATTAATACTATTATTAAAATATTAATAAGTAATATAATCTTACAAACAGAATAATAATGGTACAATGATGCAATTTATTCTATTCTATAAAAAACAATTTAGTTCTCTTACAAGATTTCATTGTTTTTCATACTAAAATTAACTGATAAATCATTAGCTATGAATTCACTTTTATTCGAATGAAATACTGATTATTCAGTCTATATTCATTCATTATGCCATGGTTTCTCTACTTTTTATAGAATCTTTTGACAGTGGTCTTTATCTCTTTTTCTGTTTTAATTTTGGTTTGTGTGTGAAAATGTAAAACTGGACTAATAGTTTCTTCTCTTCTCAATTTACAATTCAAGTCAATGCCAAAGAATGTAAGGTTAGTTAATATATAATGATAATAATAATAATAATAATAATAATAATAATAATAATAAATCATTGTTGAAAAGTAATGTAAATGTATTTTTTTTCTTCATTCATATATGATGTAATCCATTCAATCTATTTACTTGTAAAGAATGCTGATTACTGAAGATTGTGTAGGTGTAGAATGAAATGAGTAATTGAGTAGGTGAATTATGGACTAATAGAATTTCATTGATTTATTTATTTTTTTTTAATTATTTTTCATTTATTTATTTATTTATTATTAATAACATAAACATGAAAGGAATTTAAGAAATTTTGTTAAAAAAAATATTTATCAACAACAAAACCGTATACATTGAATTGAATGTTATGATGTTTGTTTGTTTGTTTTATATATGTGTGTGTGTGTAACGAAAATTATTATTGCCAAACTTGTTGAATGATGAAAGAGATAGATGAATTTGAATTATTCTGGTCACTATAATCATTAATCTGGAAAATAATAAAGTTTAGAAATAAGTTTATCATGTATCTTGTTTAATATTGAAGTGAATTGAAGTCACAGTGTGTTATAAGTTAATAGGAATTTTACAATAGAATTTTCTATGAACTGTGATAGAAATACTTGATGATAGGTTCAGAACTCATTTCAAATAGAAAGTTTTAATGTCAGGTATTTAGAGATTCTTTGTGGGAAGTGTTGAAGTTGGATTTTGTAACAGTTGGTACTTGTCAGTAAGCCTTATCCATAACATTATGAGAAATGACAATCTTTGTAGGATCAAAACCCACGTCACATAGCTTTGCTGAGATGTCAGCACGGAATTATTGAGGCATCGACTGGCATCATGTTGAATTAAGATACTTTTTATTAAGAATATTTATTTAACTACTAAGAAGTTTGGTTTCTAATATTTTTGTGTTGTATCTAAACGTTCTGTTCTTACTTCCATTATCACTTCTCTCTTCCCACTTCTATTCATTTCATACTTTCCCATTTCAATAATCGAAAATGAGGAAAGATATAGAGTATTGATGAGTTTTTAACTTTTACAGCTTATTTTTATACTTGGATGTCATGCTAAGGCTATCATTTAGGACTTTTGAAACTTATGAAGCCATTTGAGTTCTAAAGTGTCTTTATAAGTGTGACAAAGAGAATGAATGATGGTGAATAATAAAATTAACAACGACAGCATATTATTACATTTTCGTTAGCCACCGATTGTGTTATAATGCAACCTATTGATGTGTTTGTTGGGATATTCAGAAAAATGTCTCAAAAATTATTCTGTTAAGTTGAATGCTTTCCTTGGACTTGAAATGGTATCATTTTCCTATTGGTCAATATTTATTTCACGTGTCATTTTCCTGTTTGCCAAATATAGTAAAAATGTTATTTTCTATTTTATGGTACGTTGTGATCTGCTTGATTGGTATATAAACAGAGTATGCTTGAAATATAATGATTCATATCACAGAGGCTGAGACTTGTGTTCTGGACTTATCTGGCTGGGCTAGGAGGAAATCAGAGCTAACCAGAACTCTAAGCTGCTCATACGGGTTTACGCGTCATTGTTCCAATCGTTAAGTCACTGCTCTCTAATCGGCGGTCACAAGTTACAACAGTGTTAAGTAACGATTTCGCGTAAATGAACTTTTGAATAATGAAATTATACAAGACAGGAACGATGAGGCGGATACTGAGTGAATATCCTTTGAACTTGAATTTTACCAATGTCACATATTTGTTGATGTTATTATATTCAATATCAATCTAGTTCGACAAAACTCTTCATTTTGTTTAGTTACAATTGTGAATATCATTTGAAATTTGGTTATACTATCTGCTGTAATCATTTGAGTTAATGAAGAATGAAAACAAAAATTTAGATAATTGTGATAAAGAAATGCCAAATTTTATCATGTTACCTGAGTGATATACTTTAGCTTCTCTGGTTAACCAATCACAATGATAATAATAAAGGTCATTTATGTACATGACTATGATCAAGTGTAATTATCCAATCACAAATTAACATGTTCATATACATACGCACACACATATTTGGAATGATTTTTAGCACTTGTTTCAAACAATGAGAGATCAATGGTGAAAATAAAATTCATAAAATAGATATTAATCACGTTTACACTATTACTTTCAGTTTACTTTTCTAATAGTAAACACTTATAAATGTGGAATATAGACTTCGCCAATAAATTTTCCATTAAATATATAGTTGAATAGGGTACAAATGATCTTTTATGTCGTATGATGAATGGTAAATTGATGTTTGACAGTGAATCAGCCCCAGGTGGACCATCTGGAAGACAAGTATCACAATCATCACAATACATATCTAAATTAACTGGTCACAATTTCGATATAGAATTTGCACAAAAATTAAGGATGCAAAAACATAACAATCAATTGGCTTCGTTACAAAAAATAAATTATCCTCAACAACAGCATTCATTCGATTCACATCAGTACGACAAACGTTATCCTTTACAATTTATCCCTGGACAGTTAGAATTAAAACATAATTATTCAGATTCTGATGAACCGTCTAGTTTTTATCAACCAATACCATCAAAACAACATTATTATTCATCATATCGTCGATTTAAAACATGTGATCGGTTGCCAAAACATAAACACTTTGAAAATTCATTTCATCCAAAGCCGTTGGATTCTAATATATCCATGTCACATACTGATCATCACCTATCTAGTACGCCAACAGTAGCTGGACTTAGTGAATTACAAACAGACAATAAAACAATGTCTTTAACAACACCATCGGCACAAATGCCTACTACTTTGTCTCTCCCACTTCGAATTTCGCGTGAAACAGCATTTAAGCCGATAAATCATAAAACTTTTGATAGAAATGCATCCTCCTCCTCTTCTCAGTCTATTCATGAATGTAACAGTGAAAGTTACGTCATCGCTAATGTCAACAATGAAGTAGGTCATAGTAGTAATAACGTAAAAATAAATTCCACACCGAATTTATTAGATTATATCAACACAATTAATTCTTCTGTTAGCAGTTACAAGTATAATAATCCATTGATCTATGCACAACAACAGTTCCACTTACAACAACTTAAACAGTTTCAACAACGTGACATACCAAATCATGGTGATAATAGATTACCGACAACTGGAAAAGACTGTACTACAAGAAGTATGGAAGAACTTTTGAAGCGACAAAAAAAGGTAAATAAAAAAATATTCAATGAGTGATTTATGTCAGAATCTATATTCTGTGTTCAACTAGTTATATCGTGTTGGTGTCATATTTGATAAAGTAAGGGGAAATATTTTGTTTATTGTGAAATAATGAAGTCAATGTTTAGTAGAAAATTGTATGGATAAATGAGTTTCTCAGTATCAAATAAAAACACAGCTATTCTGTTGACAAAATGCACAAACATATATGGCTTGAGAGGAAAGAATGAATAGGTACGAGTCATCTATTTAATTGATCTTAACTAATATTTAGATTTTAAATGATCCCGCAAGCGGGATCGGAGATGCACACTTCTGACGAGTCCCATACTGGGACAAAACACCCGTCTAGTGCTTCTAGGTTTTCCTTGGTGGTCCAGCGTTAGTCGACTCATGAATTCAACTATTGATTTTAAACAGCTGATTAATCAATAATCTATTGTATACAACTAATTAATTAAAATTTTAATATTAGAAATATCACAAGCTATAACAATAAAAATTGATTTATAGCATCATATGCTCGATATACTCTTAAAAAGATTAATTATTTCATGAAAATCTGGATCCTAACTGAAATTCTAAAATGAACATTTTGTTACATTTTGATTATTGATATTAAGAGATGTTTGTCACGAACAATATCAACGCAAAAGACGCTTTCAATATAAGATATATTTATCGAGTAACAAAACTGAATAAGAAACAATAAATCAGTATACGGTTGTGGAAATTCATGAGTTTTATTGAGGTCCTGACCTAATCACTGTTAAAGAATAACTGAAAAGCTGAACGCCTTGGAAAACCGTTTTGTCCTAGTGTGAGGCTCGTCAGCATCGACTGTAAACTCAGGGATCGAACCCAAGTCTCTTGATCTTTCGTGCACAAACTCTTAATCTTTAGATCAGTGAGTTTATTCCCAACACTATTAATGTTTAATTTCATTCAATCCACAATATTGGGGAACAAACAAGTACAAAATGGCCGTCCAACATTGGTGAATATTTTTTATTCCTTTATTTATAAATTATTACCTCATTCTTTGGAGTAGTTAAATTTATATTATTCACTGTCAAGTTCCTTTTACTTTTACAATAAAGATCAAAATTTCATTTTGTTCTGTTCTAGACTAAATCTCTTTACTTATGAAGCTTTATCAAGATTCAACATAAGATTTCAATGTTATAGAATTGGTTAATTAACTATTCTGTAAACACTGTTTACATGTGGATAAGGCTAATAGATAAAATTCCTAATTCTTAGAATTCTTAGCAAAATAATATCTTCTTTTCCAGTGTGTATGTAGATTATTAATTCAAATACATTTATAGCATTTTAAAGAATTTAAATGAAATATCTGTCATGAGATAGTAACCCACTGATGACAATGGTGGATATGTCGATCAATTTCGTGGATTAGTTGAAGTTAGACATTAACACCGTTGAATGCCGGTCAGCTCAGTAGTCTAGAGTTCAAGCATTCGCGCGAGAGATCGATAGGCCCTGTGTTCGAATCTCGCGAGGGGGAATCGTGGATGCGCACTTCTGAGGAGTCCCACAATAGGACGAAACGGCCATCCAGTGCTTTGATGATTTTCATGGTGATCTAGCTTCAATTGATTCATGATCTCAACCACTGAAATCACTACAATCTTCACAAAACTCCTTCGGATACTAAATGACATTTTTCAACTTTACTTTCAATTCATCACGAATCATTGAATTGTGTAATTCTAGATGTTTTATTTTTGTTTCAGTGAGTCGTTCACAATTTGAAAAAAAAGTTTTTAATTAAAATAACAATGATTTTTTTATTAGAATACACTTTAGTTCTCATGACGTCTTGCAAAGTATATATAAATATAAATTATCGATTGTAACTAATATAATGGTTGTTTAAACTACTTCATCTCAATCTCTCGTATGTTACAGCAATACGTTAAAATGATCATAAGACTAGTCACATGATGACAGAACCAGGATTGGTGACCTAAAATAGAGAACCAAGTTAACACTAAATAATATTTTACTCAATACAATTACATGCAGTCACACTTAGTGAGTTCGAAGTATAAACCAATGACAGGGAGGGAAATCACATATTTAATAGTCCGTTGCCTGTAGCTGTTTGTCTAGGCTCAATGACAGATCATACTTTACTTTCACTAGCATATCAATAACTTTTATTATTGAAGTGATATTAATTAAAAACCAGTTTTGAACATTGTGGTTTTCATTTGAAAAATAACTAGTTACGTTCAAATGACTTTCTCTTATTTTCTAGTGTGATTTTGTTACCATGTGAAAAATAATACAAATTATTTTTAATGTTATTAGTTGAAACACATACCGCTTCTGATGATCTTCAAAATTTAAGTTATAAATATATTTCAATAACTGAGATCATGAGTCAATAGAAGCTAGACCACCATGGAAAACCTGGAAGCACTGGAGGGCCGTTTCGTCCTATTTTGTGACACCTCGGCAGTGCGCATCCACGACGAAACGGCGTTCCAGTGCTTCCAGGTTTTCCATGGTGGTCTAGCTTCAATTAACTCATGACTTCAACAATTGAAACTACTACACTCTCCACAAAACTCCTGTTATAAATATATATCATAATTATTTTTTGGGATACTTTAATTGTTATCACTTAAATGAAAAAGTGTCTGAAGATGACCTTCAGAAAACCATCAGTCTGGGTTTCTGGCAAGTTGACTCTAATCTGTAAGTCATGTCCGCAATCATAAAGGGATTGATGCTCCTTGTGATATTTGAAGACGCGTAAACCGTCTCCAAGTCATGAACTGGTACCATGGAGTTGTTTAGCTTGCTAAAGATCTTCTGTAGGACTGAGTTATTTACAAATGATTTATATCTGAGTTGACGACCAATGCCTTGTTTGTCAATCACTTCTCGATATGTATTTATTTGATTATTTGGGTTTTGATGTTATGTTGGTTTTTTCCCTTCATAGATTAACATCTAATTACTTATTTGTTTACTCTGTACACTTATTTTCAATTATCGCTTGTTTGAATACAGTTAAAATGATACTCTACCCAATGTATACTTGGTAATAGGTATTTACTTTATTCCATACTAAAATCTTCATAAAAAACCAGAATTCACGACCTTACGGTCGTAATTAGTGGTGGTGGTGGTCGGTTTTCGAATAGATTTTTCAACGTTTAATTAAAAATTCTTGACCAATCCAGCGAAAAATGCTCAAGCTGAGGCGATAACACATTCAGAACATTAGATTAGGAAAACTATGGTTTATAAGCTACCGTTTAATCTATGGATACTTCATCGTTATTGTTGAATATTCTAGATCTTCTAAAAAAGATGGGTTATGGCTATTAGTGAAATTCAGACAACTCTAACGTGTTATGCACCGAGTTACGGAGTCTAGATAACTACTAATATGTTCAACAGTTATGATCCTCAGATCATCAGTCGTACACGTTTGAGTTATCCCGTTATTTACGTTGGATCTTCTTTAATGTGTTTATGCGTGCATAGGAACTGATGAATACTAAATTTTTGTTGTTCCCCACATGATGTTTGTTCTTAACGTAATATCCGTTTATTGAGTTAAATATTTTCTTGTTTTGAGATAATCAAAAATTTTCACTTCATAAGTTAATCAAAGTGTAACTGAAGTAAACCGTTTGTTTACACTCCAAAACTTCCTAGCGCAATTCTTAAGCAAAGTATGAAAGCCAAAAACTTCTAAATGAACATTTATAGAATGCACAATTATACTTTCTTTAAAAGAGGCCTGATAAGTAAAAAAGAAAAACCAACTCTTCGATTTATATATTGACCAGTGAGTATTGAATATTACCATTATCATATTAACAGTGAAGTAAATTTGTATGTTATGAAAAGACTGAATCATGATTGTTAAGATATGATTACACAGTTTACTCGGTACCGCGTCCCGATGACTTATGGCAAAAAATATATATGTTATCCCATATTGTCGTCGTTTGTTCCCTAGTCAGTGTCAGTTCATGATTTTTTTCAGGAAAACTGCTTTTAAAAATTACACAACTTTGGTTCGATTTTGTTTTAAAAAATATTGCAGACTTATTTACATTTAAATTGTTTGTTGGCATACTGATAATTTTTTTGGTTGAAAGATTAGTCATAACTTAATGAAACAGAGGTTTAAGGACATAAAATCAAGAAAAAGGGGGAACTAGGACTTCCTACTGTGATCTTGGTTTTTAAACACATTTGAAGTAGATAAACACAATGATTTGTTATCTCTACTAGCACTTTGACTACCACTACTACTACTACTACTACTACTATCAATTATGAATTTCACCTATTCATATACACTTGAAAGAAGAAGAACATAAAACATCATTCATCATATGTTTCTGATTGTTTCACTGTCAATCGTTTTTTATTTTATTGATTTATTATCATTATTTGTTTCCCTAGGCCATTTGCACGAATCGACTTCAATTATGACTAGTTGTTACGTCTTGTCTCCATGACTTTAAATCTGTCTACTGGACTAATCATGTACGTAAGAAGTGATATCATTGGTTGTCAGAATGAGCAATTAGTTTTACAAGTATACAACTACTAATTTGTCAACAATTAATTACAGTTCGTAAATTTTCTGACGATTAAATCAGATGTCTCAAAAAATTTCTTGGACCTCAGCCTAACAACTGTTGAAAAGATCAAATAACTGAATAGCTATTTTGCCTCAGTATGGGATTACTCAGCTGTTCATGTTATGGTTTGTACCCAAGACATGAAGACCGTTGTTTGAGCTCACTATCCTTAAACTGCTAACTAGGTAATGCAGTGAAATATTGATCACTTTTGACAAATCAATGATTCCAATATTAATCGATTGTATAGTACAAAATAGTCTATTATAAATGTTTGGATGTTGACTGGATGTAAAACTGTAAATAATTACACACTAATATTGAGGTTTTTCCCTCTTACTTCCTCTA